CCACTGTACTCTAGCCTGGGTGATGGGGTGAGACTCCCTCTCCAAAAAAAAAAAAAAAAAAGAGTCGATGATGCCACATCAAACAGTCAAACAGGATTAGACCAGGCCTTTAATCTGTCTGTCTTCAGATACCATCAATCTTGAAGCCAATGTAGCTCAGGGTCTGTTGGTAGGTCTCTACAGAAGGCAAAGGAGAGATATAGAGAAGCAACTAGGGAGACCAGATACACTGAACTTAAAAAATATATATTTGGCTAGGTGCGGTGGCTCACGCCTGTAATCCCAGCACTTTGGGAGGCTGAAGCAGGTGGATCACCTGAGGTTAGGAGTTCGAGACCAATCTGACCAAGATGGAGAAACCCCGCCTTTACTAAAAATACAAAATTAGCTGGGCATGGTGGGTGCATGCCTGTAATCCCAGGTACTTGGGAGACTGAGGCAGGAGATTTGTTTGAGCCCAGGAGGGGGAGGTTGCCGTGAGCTGACAGCATGCCATTGCACTCCAGCCTGGGCAACAAGAGTAAAACTTTGTCTTTTTTTTTTCTTTTTTTTATTATTATTTTTTATTTTATTAAAAAAAAAGATAGGGTTTCACAATGATGGCCAGGCTGGTCTTGAACTTCTGACCTCAGGTGATCCACTCACCTTGGCCTCCCAAAGTGCTAGAATTACAGGCGTGAGCCACCGTGCCCAGCAAAACTTTGTCTAAAAAAAAAAAAAGGCCAGTCACAGAGGCTCATGCCTGTAATCCCAGCACTTTGGGAGTCTGAGGCGGGTGAATCACAAGGTCAGGAGTTTGAGACCAATTTGATCAACATGGTAAAACCCTGTCTCNAGGGCGATGGCAAGATCTCAGCTCACCGCAATCTCTGCCTCCCTGGTTCAAGCAATTCTCCTGCCTCACCCACCCGAGTAGCTGGGATTACAGGCATGCGGTGTCATGCCCCACTAATTTTGTATTATTGGTAGAGATGGGGTTTTTCCATGTTGATTAGGCTGGTCTCCAACTCCCAACCTCAGATGATCCACCCGCCTCAGTCTCTCGAAGTGCTGGGATTACAGGCATAAGCCACTGCACCTGGCCAATTACTACTATATTTCTAAATAACATGTTTTCAAAATTTTTTCTCCAAACTGTCAGACACATAAATTGAGTTGCTGTAAACTTTCACCGCATCAACACAAACATACATACTCTTCACCTTTTCTCATTCTCCTGATATAATTATATCATGATTTTTGTTTAAATCTACATTTAGAATATACATTCTTATTTCACATATATCTCATCCCTGCTGAGCTTTGAAAAGTGCTGTATCAATTTCTCTCTTATAAAATGTTTTTTATTTTCCTGGATTTATTAAGGGTGTATTTTGATTTGCTTAGTTTGAGTGTGTACCTATTAGTAATGTATCCTCAAATTCTCTTCCAGAAGTGTTACTGTCTTGTCAATACCTTTAAACATATCAGGTTTCTATAAATTTACATGCAGTTACCGCTCCTGGTGCATTCTGTTCTCTTGTCTCTATAGGAACGCGTTACTCTCCATGGTAGGGCCACTTCTGCTCTGAGATCTCTCTTCACTGATACCCTAACAACTCTCTTCACCTCTCTTTGTGTTCAATCCCATTTTCTGAATGCCATGTCCTCTTCTTTCTTGGTTTATTACTTTTTGAGAAATGGTTTATTGAGATGAGGTCTTATATGTTTGAAAGTATCATTATTCTGTCCTCACAGTTAATTAGTTAGATGTATGAAGAATTCTAGGTTGGAAATTTCTTCTCTCAGAATTTCACAGGAGTTACTCTATTGCTACTGCTGTAAAATGTGATATTACTGCTGAAAAAAATATGATGACATTTAATTCTTTTTTCTTTTGCTCATGATTTGTATTTTGTTTTTCTTATGGAAAGCTTTTGGAACTTCCCTTTATCTCTAATGTTCTCAATTCCATGAAACTATGCTTTGAAGTAAGTCTTTTCATTTTGTATTTATTGTTCTGGACATAAATTAGGGCTTTTCAATCTGAAAATGAGAGGCCTTTAATCTTAGGTAATTGTTTTTGTGGACTTCTTTTCTGTTTTTCTTTCTTCTACTCATATTAATCAGATATTAGAAATTCTGGATTGCTCTTTTATTTTCTTCCATCTTTTCAAATTTTTTGCCCCATTCTCCTGTTTTCAAAGATTTTCTCAACTTTCTCTTCTAAACTTTATGTTGAGCTCCTCAATACCTTAATTTTTTTTGAGTTATCTTTATTTTCTGCATATTTCTTATAGTATTGTGCACATGTTTCATGGACAAAATGTGTTATATCTCAGAGGTTAATACTATCTCTTTTCTGTTTTCCAATTTTTATATATCTAATTCAATTTGGTTTTCCTATAAGAAGTATTTTTCTTCCTATATCTGTTAGTCTTTTTCTCTTATGTTTGAGGTTTCCCTAGTATTAACTATGCATTTTTTATTGCATTTAAAAAAGATTGTTTTAAGTTGTTTTCTTTTTAACTAATATGAGTACATAATAGGTGTATATATTTATGGGATACATATGATGTTTTGACATAGGCATATAATATGTAATAATCACATTAAGGTAACTGAGATATCCATCACCTCAAGCATTTATCATTTCTTTACATTAAGAACATTTTAATTCTGCTCTTAGTTATTGCTAAATATACAATAAGTTATTCTTGACTGCAGTCACCCTGTTGTGCCGTCATATGCTAGATCTAAAGCTAGGTGCAATGGCTCACACCTGTATTCCAACACTTTGGGAGGCCAAGATGAAAGGATCACTTGAGTCTGGGAGTTCAAAACCATCCTGGGCAATATAGTGAGACTTTGTCTCTACATGAATTAAAAAAGAAAAATAGCAGCTGATGTGGTGGACATGTATTGTCAGCTACTCAGGAACTTGGCATGGGAGGATTGCTTGAGCCTGGGGCCAGGGGAGGGGGGGGTGGGGGGAGCAGAGGGGTTAAGGCTACAGTGAGCCATGATCACACCACTGCACTCCACCATGTCTCAAAACAAAGAAACTTGCCTGGTGCGGTGGCTCCTGCCTGTAATCCTAGCACTTTGGGAGGCCAAGGCAGCCAGAAAATGAGGTCAGGAGTTTGAGACCAGCCTGACCAAAATGGTGAAACCCCCATCTCTACTAAAAAGACCAAAATCAGCCAGGCATGGTGGTGCATGCCTGTAGTCCCAGTTACTCAGGAGGCTGAGGCAGCAGAAGAATCCCTTGAACCCGGGAGGCAGAGGTTGCAGTGAGCCAAGATCGTACCACTGCACTCCATCCTGGGTGACAGGGCAAGTCTCTGTCTCAAACAAACAAACAAACAAACAAAACAAAGAAACAAAAACAAAACATCACCAAAAAAAAAAGACTAGATCCAGTTAACTGCTTCTTAGCAGCTGTGTTTCAGAGTGGGGCATAGTGTGGCTGCCTGATAGTTCTGCATGCCTGGAAGTTCAGGTTAGGACCGCTATCCACTTCATTAGTCTGGACTATTTAATGGGAAATTCACAACTGTCAAAATCTACGTATCAGTGTTTTTGAACAGGTCACTTTTTCCAAAAGGAGATTCTCTAACATACTGCCGTAGGAATCTGATGCTGGCTGTTGCATTCCACATCGCCATGCAGTGTAGCAATATACTTTCACTTAATCCTGCATCACAGTGGCACTGATAACCCCTGCACCTGGTGACTCGGGGTTTAGAGTTCTGCCTTCTCAGAGAGCAAACCTCCGTTCTTCTATTGACATGGTAGAAACCACTGGCATCTAATTGGATTCATACATAATTTCCACTAATCATGTTGTTTTCTCAATTTACATTTAGTAGTATCTGGCACTTTAATTTCTATGGATTTATGCTCTTTTATCCTACAGCTATCATTTCAGTGAAATTGTGTGAGGGAGATAAGGTAAAACATATGCTTAATATTCCACGTTCAACCAACAACCACACACACTTTTTTGAATTTTTGTTGATAATACTATCATAAGCTAACACATTTTAGGACTCAAAAAGACATTCCCTTTTGGTTTCTACTCACTAGAGTTACTCAAGCACTTATTTTAATATAATCTGGATAGGTGATTTTTTAAAGATATATTTGAATTATTTAACTTATTTAAAAATACTTTATGAGCAAGAATTTTATTTTTTGGAAAAATAAATTACAGAAAAAATTTTAAAAATAAATTTTAAAACTGAGAAATGCATAATATTCATCTTTTTGGAAATGAGAATATTTGCTAGGAGAAAAATATTGTTTCTTTTCTGTAATAGCAGATGAGTATTTAGAATATCAAACTACTATAATAATTTTAATAATTTCTTTTCTAAATTTACAGTAGCTAAGGTTTAGTAGGAAAGTAATTCAAATAGACTACTTTTGTTCATGCCAAGTGCTCTTTATTCTGGATGTACCTCTGGGGTAAATAGTCTCATTTCATTCTATATAAATATAGTTTATTCTGTATGTAACTCCTGACTCCTCATAATTTACGGGGTGCCTTTCCAAACTAGAAAACTGACATTCTGACTGTTTATTCATTTAAAGGACATTATTGCATCAGAGTCAATGGTTTAGACTCTGGAGTTTTACGGCTCAGGTTCAAATCCTTAAAAGGCTTCTAACTAACTGTGGCAAAGTATGTGATATTTGTTTATTTGTTACCTCATCTATATTGTGAGGAGTATAACAGAGGCTTCAAAAGCTTGTTGTGAGGATTAGACATGTTAATAGACATATACCACTTATAGTGCCTAGAATGTGATAACTACTGTGTAAGTTTTGACCTTTTGTAAGTATACTGAAAAACAGAGCTCTGGAGCTATTAGGGAAAATACTAACAAACATTGATTATTCTCTGCCTATCATGTAGAAAACAGTTGCATTAGTCTTGATTCCACACCTTTATGTTTTTATCTTCAGTGAGATTTGAAAATATGATCTTTTGAAAAACTGTTTCATTTTCCTTTCAGGATGGCCATTTGGAAACACAATGTGCAAGATCAGTGGATTTGTCCAGGGAATATCTGTGGCAGCTTCAGTCTTTACATTAGTTGCAATAGCTGTAGATAGGTAAGTCTGCACCAAACTCTGAATCCAGAAAAATGGGCATGTCTGTAATTAGTATGCCGGAAAAATACATAACCTACTAAATTTGGACTTATCTTTTCAAATTGTATTCAGAATATCTACCTCTTTAAGAGCAATATACCTACTAAAGTTTCAGTAATAATAAAACTATTGAATTTTCCATACTTTAAATAATTGGAGATGGTAAAATTTTTCTATTTTTCACACTACAGTCTAGAATGTTCTAACAGCAGAAATGCAAATGTACTGAAATAAATTGAAATTGTATCTAGATTTTAAGATTGAAAACCATTCATTCATTACCCATGTTGTTGAGCATTTATGATGTGCTGAGTACTGGGCTGGGTTGTGTAACGTCTACAACAAATAGAAGTGCTGCCTCAGGAAGGCTGCAATCTGGTGGAGCGATGCAGTTATTAACAAATACTTACAAATTATGCTTTCTAATAGGGGACCAGTGTTTGACAGCTATGCAAAAGAGATAATAAACAATTATGCCTGTTAGGACCAGGTGTGATGGATTCACAAAATAGGTGAGACTTTCTGATTCCTTGAGGAGTCAGAAATTTACCCTTAGAAGAATTTGGGAAAAGGCCGTCCCTTAAGACAAGTATATGCTTATGGCATTGAAATAGAAAGCACTTGTCCAGAAGTGCAGAGAGGTAGTTCAGCTGGAACAAGGAAGGTGAAGTGGTACATTCATCCACAGAGAGAGATTTATTATGAGAAATTGGCTCACATAATTATGAAAACTGAGAAATCCCATAATATACTGCCTGTAAACTGGAAACCTAGGAAAGCCTGTGATATCATTCAGTCCAAGTCCAAAAGCCTGAGAACTAGGGAGAGCCAATTTACAATTGGCCATTTGTGTAAATTGCATTCTGAGGGCAGGAGAAGATGATATATGAGATGTCCTAGCTCAAGCAATGAGGCAGGAAAGAAGGGGGCAAATTCCTCCTTCCTCCACTTCTTATTCTATTCAGGCCCTCAAAGGACTGGATGATGCCTACACATACTGGGAGGGCAATCCACTTTACTGAGTCCACTGACTAAGATGCTAATCTTATCCAGAAACACTTTCATAGGCTCATCCAGAAATAAGACTCAATCTGGGTGCCCCTTGGCCCAGTCAAGTTGATAGATTCATTAGCCATCACACTTTTGTAGCAGAGACTCTCAGTGCTCTGGCAGATCTCTTACACCTTTCAGTGGATTCTGTCTTACATCCAACTGCCAGTATCTTCATCTCTGTATCTCAAATCCAAATTGTGCAAAGTCTCAGTTCTTAAGCAAAACAGACAAGAAATCACAGATAATTAATACCCACAGAATTAGCTGTCAATTAAAATATCATGAGAGTTGATGTACTCAGCTTTCTGTCCCCTTGGGTTGCATAATTCTGCAATGAATGGTTTGATTCACATCCCTTGCTACTTACCTTCCCATTAATAAATTACTTCTCTGTACTTTCAGTTATCTATTGATATATATAATGAACCACCCTCAGATCAAACCACTTAGTGAGTTAAAATAACAGCAATATTTATTATGTCATGAATCTGTGATAGGTACAGATTTAGTAAGTACAGCTTATCTCTGTTCTACTTGATGTCAGTTGGAGCAGCTTCAAGGTTAGGGCTGAAGCTTCTTCCACTCTCATGTTGGTACCTAGTCTAGACAGACTTGAACATGTGGGGGCTAAGAGAGTTCTGTCTCTATTGGTCTCTCCAAATGGGCTCTCTGGCAAGGCTACTTTAAGGCACCTGGACTTCTTATGTGTCAGTTCAGGGCTCTGAAGGTCTGTATCCCAAAAGAGAGTATCAGCAAAACTCATGATGCGGTATCATTTCTGTTGCATTCTCTTCATGATATTGAGTCATTAATCCTTAGTAAAGCAGAAGGGAATAGAATTTGGAAGCGATGTTAAAAAACTTGGACATGTCTTAAAACTACCACATCTTTATTCCTTGCACTTGTAGTAAATACTTTTTTTTCAGGGCTAGCTTTTGCAGGAAGCCAAACTTAAAAAACTTGCAAGCCGATTTCTCCTGACTAAATCCTTTGCCTGAATTTTACAATTACATTCAAAAGCACCTACTGTACAACTTCACCTGCACATTCAACAAAAGGCATCATAAGTTAAACATGTCCAGAACTGAACTACTTATTCCAAGCCCCAACCCACACACAAACAAAATAAAAGGCAGCTCTTCCTCTCATGCTCCCCAAATCAAGGAATGACAGGATCACTCACTGAATTCAAACAAAAAACCTGAGCTTTATCCTTGAATCTTCTGTCTTCAACTTCTTTGCTGTCACTCTCCAAGTCCGATTATTTCTGAGGGCTAACTAGTTCTGAACCAGACCACTGTTATTTGTCACTTGGAATACTGAGACTGTTTTCTAACTGGCCTTAGGGCTTCAGGAAGCTAGGTTCCAATTTATTTTTTTCTCATAGCAGCCAAATAATCTTCTTAAATTGTAAAAATGATCCTGCCCTTCACCATGTAAATTATTCCATGAATCCCTATTGATCATTAAATAAAATCCAAACATTTTAGCACAATTTTAGTAATTATTATAGTTTTTAACATTTTTAATATTTCCATTGACTATTCCTCAGCAGTGACTATTCTCTATCTTGTTCATCTTTGCCTTCCTGAAAATACACACATAAACACTTAAATAAGTATGTGTACCAATATATAAGCATATATACACATATGTGTACATTTATTAAACAAATATATAAGTACATACATTTGTTATAAGAACAAATATATACATACATATATGTACAGATATATATATATATGTACTTTTATATTTGTTCATTTTTATTGCCAAGAATGTCTGCTTTAATTCATTTATTCAGATTTTGAGTTTATCTCATGTATCAATATATGTGCTTATATATTTAATAAATAAATGAAATAACAACATCCAAAACCCTATTAGTTGGTATACAAAAAGAGCAAAACACAAAAACTTACGCCTATGAAATTACCCATAATATCAGGGTAGGTGAATGGGAGGATTCATGGATTAGAAGACTGGAAGAACACTTGGAGGCGAAGAAAAGATCTTATGCATGAAGGAGTTGTAAAGAATGACAACAGAGCAGTGAAAGCTCAAGCTAACTGGTCATTCTATGACAATAAGTTAGATAAGTTAATTTGGCTGCTCAGCCACTTAAAGCTCTACATTTTCTCATCTACAGATCTAGAATATAACAATTTTCATACCATATCAGCTTTATATAGTCATACAAATCAAAAAAGATTAAATAGGTAATGGGTACTTTGAAAAAATATAAAATGTTACACAGTTGCCTAATAGTATGATTATCTTATGATTAACATAATGAACTTCAATAACAACAATAACAAAAATTCACAATGTCAAAATCATGGTAAAATGACTCAGGCTTACTCTACATAGTGGTGCTGAATTTTTGCGCTCACCAGAGGACATAGAATGTTAGGAAGGCTCATAATCAGAACTCATAATGAATACTCTCAGATTTTTACAGCTGTATAGTAAATCACTAAAACACTTAGTGGCTTCAAACAATATTTGTTTATTACATCTTATGGTTTTGTGGATTAACTGGACACCTCTGTGTTCAGCCTTGTTCACCATGTGTTATAGCTGGAATCACTCATGTTGCAGCGTTACCCTGGGAGCTGAGCTGGGGCCGGCACATCGAAAATGGCCAACCTCTTAACCCCCAACTTCTTTCTCCACATGGCTTTCATTTATTTCAAGCTTCTTAGGACTTGAAGACTGGATTTTAAGAGGAAGCATTCCAAAAGGACCTTCCCCTACATGCAAGTGCATAAAAATCTGCTTGCATCATGTTTACTAATATCCTATTGGCCAAAACAAGTTATACAGATGATGCATGGGGGACCACACAAGAGCCTGAGGGATAAAAGGCTCATTGATTGCTACTGATTAACAGTCTACCACAGCCCAACAGAGCTACCCATCTAATGAGCACACTGTAGAGGTTGAGTTTGAGCTCTGAAACCAAACTACTTGTGTTAAAATCCTGTGTAATTATTAGCAAGATTTTTACATGTCCTAAGTCTGTTTTCCTGTCTTTTAAGCAAGGAGACTTGAAGAGATAGTCTATGTGGGCTGGCACGGTGGCTCACGCCTATAAACCCAGCACTTTGGGAGGTCAAGGCGGGTGGATCACCTTAGGTCAAGAGTTTGAGAGCAGCCTGGCCAACATGGTAAAACCTCGTCTCTACTAAAAATACAAAAATCAGCCCGGCATAGTGGCATGCACTTGTAGTTCCAGCTAATTGGGTGGCTGAGGCAGCAGAATGGCTTGAATTGGGAGGCAGAGGTTGCAGTGAGCCAAGATCGCACCACTGCACTCCAGCCTGGGCAACAGAGCAAGATTCCATCTCAAAAAAAAGAAAGAAAGAAAGAAAGAAAGAAAATAAAAGAGACAGTCCATGCAAATCAATGGAACAGAGTCTGAAATAGTTTTAAGCATTCATGTTATTACCTTTTATTATTAATAGTGTCTGCTATACTTCATTTGTTCAAATTCTGAGTTAAAATTGATCTCATATATCAATTACAGAAAATGACAATGCATGCCTTTCTACAATAAATGGTAACTCTATATTTTTAAGGGGACTGTGAGGTGAGAGGTCTGTGATTACATAGATAAATTTGGTGTATGACTTGGACAGAGTTATAAAGCAGTGCCCCATTTATATTTGTCTTAATTGCAGGTTCCGGTGTGTGGTCTACCCTTTTAAACCAAAACTCACTATCAAGACAGCGTTTGTCATTATTATGATCATCTGGGTCCTAGCCATCACCATTATGTCTCCATCTGCAGTAATGTTACATGCGCAAGAAGAAAAATATTACCGAGTGAGACTTAACTCCCAGAATAAAACCAGTCCAGTCTACTGGTGCCGGGAGGACTGGCCCAATCAGGAAATGAGGAAGATCTACACCACGGTGCTGTTTGCCAACATCTACCTGGCTCCCCTGTCCCTCATTGTGGTCATGTATGGAAGGATTGGGATTTCACTCTTCAGGACTGCAGTTCCCCACACAGCCAAGCAGAACCAAGAGCAGTGGCACATGGTGTCCAAGAAGAAGCAGAAGGTCATTAAGATGCTCCTGATTGTGGCCCTGCTTTTCATTCTCTCATGGCTGCCCCTGTGGACTCTAATGATGCTCTCAGACTATGCTGACCTTTCTCCAAATGAACTTCAGATCATTAACATCTACATCTACCCTTTTGCACACTGGCTGGCATTTGGCAACAGCAGTGTCAACCCCATCATTTATGGTTTCTTCAACGAGAATTTCCGCCGTGGTTTCCAAGAAGCTTTCCAGCTCCAGCTCTGCCAAAAAAGAGCAAAGCCTAAGGAAGCCTATTCCCTAAAAGCTAAAAGCCATGTAATCATAAACACATCTAATCCAATTATCCAGGAATCTACATTTCAAAACTCACATGGGGAAAACTTGCTTTATAGGAAAAGTACTGAAAAACCCCAAGAAGAATTAGTGATGGGAAAATTAAAAGAAGCTACCAACAGCAGTGAGATTTAAAAGAGCTAGTGTGATAGTCCTAACTCTACTGTGTGTTAAATATTTAAATACCATTGCTTTTTGTGGCTTTGCACTTAAAGTTTTTCAAAGAATGTTCTAAGTGAAACATTTACGGAAAGCCCTCTCTGCCAAAAAATATAAACAAAAATGGTCATAAGATCATAAACAATCTTATGCTTTATAAAAATACTTATGGTGACTCATACATGTTTGCATGAATAAATACATTTCTAGAGAACAGTCTACAAAGCCTCATCTTTCCCAACTTAACCATTTGTGTATGTGTCAAATCAAGCCCGTGTGTGTGTGTGTGTGTGTGTGTGTGTGTGTGTGTGTGTGTACATGTGGTATGTGTATATATTTTCCCCAAATGTTGGTGATGAGCAGTGCTTTGCATGAAACTACATTTTTTCAATTTCTCCTTTGATTTTGGATTTAAAATCCAAAATTAATAAAATTTTAGACTACAGAACTATTAATCTGCTTATGTTTTTAAAATGTACTTGGTTTTCTAAGAAATATATTCGATCACATGAAATTCTTTGCTACTGATTTTCTCTTCTCCATTACTTCATTTTAGTTAATCTACAAAGGCAAGATATTATAGGTCCACGGGCAATTATATCACAGAGGACCTCACTTCCTGTGTGTTGGAACTGTAGTAGCAAATAAAGGGACACATATTTCTTTACATTTAAAAGCTGTTTTTTTTGTTTGTTTGTTTGTTTTGTTTTGTTTTGTTTTGTTTGAGATGGATTCTTGCTCTGTTGCCCACGCTGGAGTGCAGTGATGTGATCTTGGCTCACTGCAACCCCTGCTTCCCAGGTTCAAGCTGTTCTCCTGCCTCAGCCCCGCTGAGTAGCTGGGATTACAGGCACACACCACCACACCTGGCTAATTCTTGCATTTTTAGTAGAGAGGAGGTTTCACCTTGTTGGTCAGGCTGGTCTCCAACTCCTGACCTCATGATTTACCTGCCTTGGCCTCGCAAAGTGCTGGAATTACAGGCATGAGCCACTGCGACAGTCCTAAAAGTTGATTTTTAAAAAAGAGTACAAAGGAGTTTTGTTGGCTTTTTCATATTTTCATAAGTGAAGTTTATGCCTTAGCTGAAAACGCATTAGTTACAGAGCTGATTGAGGACTCCAACTCAATGCCTTTTTCTAACAGAATCTCTGATGTAAAGAAACAAACCCTTTAATAACACAGCAGTTAGCAGAAAAACGGCACCTTTCCTTTGAAGTGTTTAATCATAGATGTTTAACAGTAGTCATAAAACTCTCACATAAAGAGCAAGAACAATTATTTCAAATTTTCCACAGAGCACATTTAAATCTAGCACCGTGGGTTTAGTAAATTAGTATTATTGTTTAAAAAATAATGGACAACCCCTGGATTCAGCTGTTAGAATTATCTAATGATAATAGTTGTCAATGTTAGCTTTTATGTTAGGGTGAGGTAAGTCCCTAGAAAATTGGAAATTATAACAAAACAGTTTGGCAAATAAAAATAAATTTCTGGAATTGAAGCTATTATATTTTTTTCAGTCATTTTTGTGGTTCAAACTAAAAGGATTTGCTATGGTTTGGACGTGGTTTGCCTCCAGCAAAACTCATGCCAAAATTTGATTCCCAATGTGCCAGGGTGGGGAGTTGGAACCTAGTGGGAGGTGTTCAGATTATAGGGCACCACCCTCATTAATAGATTAATGTCATTTCACAGGAGTGAGTTCTCTTGCGAAACTTGATTCATTATGGCAAAAGTGGGTTGTTATAAAGCAAGGCTCTTCCCATGTTTTGTGCCTATTTGGACATGCCTGCTCACTTTTCTGCTTCTCTGCCATGCTGTAACATAGGATATGACCCTCACAAGAAGCCAAGCAGATGCCAATGCCATGCAATTAAACTTCCCAGTCACCACAGCTGTGAGCCAAATAAACCTCTTTTCTTTGTAAATTACAAAGCCTCAGAATTCCATTATAACAACACTAAATGGAATAAGACAACTTTTGAGCATTCTAGTCTTTTGAGAAACAATTGTTAAGTTTTTTGTTGCTGTTTTGTTTTGTTTTGTTTTGTTTTGTTTTGTTTTGTTTTGTTTTGACAGAGTCTCACTCTGTTGCCCAGGATGGAGTGCAGTGGTGGGACCTCAGCTCACTACAATCTCTGCCTCCCAGGTTCAAGTAATTCTCCTGCATCAGCTTCCCAAGTATCTGGGATTACAGGTGTGCACCACTGCACCTGGCTAATTTTTGTATATTTTTAATAAAGACGGGTTTCACCATGTTGGTCAGGCTGGTCTTGAACTCCTGACCTCAGATGATCTACCTGCCTCGGCCTCCCAAAGTGCTGGGATTACAGGTGTGAGCCACCACACCCAGCCAATTTTATTTGAATTGAACTATGTGTTCTTTGAATATACAAGTATTATTTCCTGCAATTATGAAGGGCAGCTCTTAAAAGTTGTAGGTATAGAATTTGATCATATATTCTTTTACCTTGATTTACTGAAATATTATTTACAATCAGTGTACTCAGGCATAGAAGATTGTTTTGATATTGACTATCACTTTCTTATGGGCTTCCTCACATGGATACACATTCTACCAGCACTTGAAACTCATTATAACTAAATTTCATGTCCTACCATTCATCTGTCTGCTTTTATCACCTTCCATCTCCTGTTACCTCTTCCCTAATGGTTGCAAAACTTTCCTAACTGTATCTTATCCTGACATTCAGACTTGCAGCTTCTAGTTATTTCTATAGTTGGCAAAGGCATCTTCCAGAAGTGGAGGACTAATTTTGCTTTCTTTCATTAATAAATAGTTTGACAAATGTAAGTAAGTCTCTGGGAGTGAATCTATTATATTTTTAATAATAGCTCTCTCCTTTATAATTGGCTCTCTGACTCTTAAAAGATATGTCTTCCCAAAGCCCACCATGGCCTGGCCCTCATCTCCTGGTTATATCTCTGCCACAAATTGTTTTCAAAACTCAAGTCAGAAATGGTCAGCCTAGATTGTTGTGTTTTTTTCTCATTTATTACTTATTCACTGCTTTACTCCCTTATGTGACTATCTTTTATCCAAGATCTGTTCAAAAGCCACCTCTCTCAGAAAGTCTGCATTCTTACAGCAGAAATGGTTACTGCCTTTTCCAGGTACTATGTACCTCTTATATATGACAACTTAACTTGTAATTGTTTTGTCTTGTGCTTGCAACTAGAATATAAATTTCTCCAGGGAATGATGAATTAGGCCTTACTCATCTTTAGATCTCCTCGTGTGGATCACAGTAATTGGCAGTAGATACATATTGTTAGATAATTGCCACAGGAAAAAATCATCTCTCATGTTTCTTAAGAGGAATGTCTAATTCTGAACAAGTAGAATTCTGCATACAGTTTCTAGTACACCTGTAACAGACAAAGAGCTTTTCTATGAATTGAAACAACAAAATAAGAGATAAAGAAAGCTAAAATGTCTTGAACATGCATAGCCACTAAGATATAGATTATGTGGTCATACATGATTTGCTACCTAATAGTTTGGTGCTTTGTAGAGGCAAATTTTCTATGCTTGAATTTTCTTATCTGTAATACGGGAATAATAGTAGTTCCTTTCTCCTGGCTTGATGTGAGTATTGAATGATAAAAAGCAGAGAAACTATAACTTAGCAAAGGCTAAATGATTGTTGCTGTTTCAATGATAGTGAAAATTATTAATGGGAGTATTAGTTCTAATCGTCTCAATCCCATGCTAGGTTATATTTTATATGTTTGATAACCCTCACTAGAGCAATCCAAGGTATGTATTATTTCCATTTTACAAATGAGAGTACCAAGTCTAAGAGAAGCTGGTTTATCCAAAGTTATAAAGCTTGAAAGTGGTACAAATAAGTTTGTAACTCAGAACAAATTCCAAAACTTTATTTTTTCCTTCTATATCATATCATCCTTGTGCTATGATGAACTTATTTGGACTACTTTTTAACCACTTCTTCAGTCGCCATTTTTCTGATTGTAAAATAACACCTGGGATACTTATAGAATTTGTAAGAAACACAGAATAGTACAAAGATTACACATAATCCCTCTAGCAAGAAGAAGAAGAAGAAAAAAAAAACTACTGAAAACACGTATTTCAGCTAGCACTTATATCAGCACCCTGTACATAAATTTTTGCCAATAGTGATTATTTCCTAAAGGTAGATTTCTAGCAGCAAAATTACTAGGAAGAGCATCTCTATAATACTTTCAATATGTACCCTGTTTTTTTTCTAAATATTAATATAAAATTCCAGTTTTGTGGTTGATCATCTCACAATATTTTTAACACATAAGTTTTTCTTCAACTTTGCTACTTAAATATGTGAAAAATCATTTAAATTTGTTGCTTTGATTACTAGTGTAGTTGAACATTGCTCTGTTTCTTACTAATTTATATTTCTTCCTCTTCCTATTCTTTGACCATTTTCTTAGTGTATTTTTTGTTTCCCTTTGTATTTTTATTCATTGCTGTGCATTTTTTTTTGTATTTGAGGCATAGCACCTTCAATGACAGGCAGAGCAATCTTTCTAAAATTCAAATTAGATGTCACTTTCTCATTTCAAAGCCTTCAATAGTTTCCTTTCAAATTAGGAAAAAAACAAACTCTAAGGCTTACATACATTTACTTTTTCTGTCCTTGCCTGCTTCTTAACCTCATCTTGAACACTCATCATTCACACAGACTGTCTCTTTCTCTGACATTGTCAAGCCCTTTGCAGCTTTTGTGTTCTGCACCTGTGTTCTTCCTGCCAGGAATGTCCTCCTCATTTCCCTTCACACACCTGCTCCCTCTTGCCTTCAGTGTTCAACTGAAACCCCACCTGACCCTTGCCTATTTCCTCCATAGCACTTCTAATTATCTGCAATTATCTTCAAAATTAATTTAATTACTTGTTTAATATCTATATCCCCTACCAAGAAGCAAAATCCATAAGGGCAAGGATTTTTGTCTTGTTCATCATTGTATCAGTCAGTGTCTAAGAGAGTGCTTCACTTGTAATGGACACATGATAAATATTTGAGCAAATTAATTAACTGGTTGCAAATATTTTCCAGTTTTTAATTTTCATTAAATTTATTTATGAATATGTTTTATTTTTACATATTGAAATCATTCAGAACATAACAGAAACATTAAATAATATACAAAAGCAGATAAAATAAAATAATTATTTATTCTACTGTAACTGA